CCGACTGGTACCGATGCCGAAAAATATTCGTTGCGCGCACGCAGCCACATGTGGACCCTACCTCCCTGCAGGTCCGACTTCTGACGAGCTGGCCAGGGTGCACATTCGAACGACGTCGTTTCCCGCCGCAACCATACAGGATCGATCGACTAATCGCAGACATGCCATAATAAACGGCATCACCGAGCCTGGGCCGCGCGCCGCGCCATGGCGGCTCGCCCGCGCTGCTCGGCCTCCGCCCGATCGGCGAAGCCAGCCGCCGCTGGCACTGCGACAACGCTGGGCGGCCACCTGCTCCGAGTCTGTCTCCGCCGCGGCGCCCGCGACCCCGACAGGCCTCATGCCCGCTGCACCGGGCTGCGGCACTGGCGGCTGTCGAAGCACGCAACGGACGCAACCGCACGCATAGGCGGCCCAGGAGCGCATTCCCGGCCACGACTCGCCCGCACGCTTCCCAGCGCCGTACCCCACCGTGGCCTCGCTTCCTCTGACGGCGCCGCCACCGCAGCGATGGGTATCTTCGCGTAGCCCTTGTTCGATGATGGCAGCCGGCCCTGCAGAATGTCGCTCCTGGCTTGCAGCCGCGAGCCTTTCAGGACTTCCGTGGGATGGCAGGCTTTCTCGAGGCACGGTGAGAGCATTGGACAAGGAACCATTGGATAAGGAATCCACGGTCTGGCAGTTCGTGGAAATCCAATCGTGTATTCGCCATGGATACCACTGCCACCCTCATCGGACAAGGAACCCCCCCAGGGTCTGAAGCCTCCAGGGCACATTCCTTCACCAACGCCCCCACCGTACCCCAGCGTAGAATGGACCTGCAGGAGTAGGGTTCGCCAATGGTCGTAGGACGCGCGCCCTCTGGACTGCAGCTCTGCTGAGCGGACTGCACACTGCGCCAACAAGCATATGTCGAAACCAGTCGCGGGGCCCGGTCAGGGGCAATCGGGCGAGGCGACGCCATGCTCTTGCGCTGCCGGGCGCTGATAGCGTTCCATTCGGGAATCGGACATGCAAAAACAGCAACAAGTGGCGAGCCGTCCACCGAAACCAACCCAAAAGGGCAACACGGCTGCCCGCGCCAAAATGCGCACGCCCTGGAGAAGTGCGGTCCCGTGTCTCGGAGTCTGCGGCTGGGCCCCCACCGTGCCAGAACGAGCTAACAAAAAAGCGGATGCCAAGAAACGATGGACAAGCCCCAGCGTAGTAGCAAGCAAAGACACGATCAGTCAAGGACGACGATAACCCTGTGGACAGGACTCGATGTGCAACCACCAGAAAATTAACGGGCAGTGTCAGCTCCAATGGTCATCAAGAATGTGGGACCCGATACTGGGAGACCAAACGGATACGCACCACTGGGCAATTCCCAAGACCTCTCCAAGGGCGCCTTCTGACCAGGAATTCACGACGAACCCAGCCGTGGCGCTGAGGGCCTCCTCCAAAGGAGTACCGAATATACGACAGCGATACTTTGGTCGGTCTCATGGGGGATGTGCAACACGGAAATCCACGGAGCACCATGAGGGCGGGACAAAGTGGCAGCGGCAACGCCCAATGAGCAGGGGCAACCAACAGCCAAGAAGAACCGTCGGGAGGGAACACAACAAAGCAGAACAGCACATGGGTGGCACACATAAGATCACCTTGGTGAGAGAACCGTTCTGGAGCAGCACCATCTTCCATTTCCTTGTCCGCGAGTTTACCCTTATGATTAGCCTCGCCGCTCTCCTCCACAGCAACATACCTAAGTAGCCCGTCCCTGAGAGGAAACATGAGGGAGACGAAGAGGTGGTGAGACGGCAAACGTGAGAGAGCGATTTGAAGGAACAACGAGAAAGAGATGGATAGAGAGAGAGAGACAGAGCAAGAGAGAGAGAGAGAGGCAGAGAAGGGAAGAGGTTCAAGGGGACAAGGGGAGGGGCAATGGGGCAAGGGACTAGGTGTGGGAGACAGAGAAACGCATGTCAATGGGGTAAGAGCGGGGCAACACATGGAGAAAAGACACGATGGAGACGGTTGGATTGGGCATGCCTTGTCTCCGTTCCCCCATACGGTATGAGGCCTTCAACACTCGGGAGGGAAACGTACACGAGGCCCTGACATGCTCGACTAAACGATGGTACTAGATCAGGTTACGTAAGATGGTTGTCCTGTTTGGGCACGTGCATGTTGAGCTCCACCCATGAGGATCGTTTGACCGATTCCCATACCCGCTGGCAGGGCATTGGCCCCACTGGCCCCAAACTGGGGGGTGAGATGGTGGGGACGAGATACCATGGCCCCGTGGGGATGGGGATCGGTTAGACGATGCTGAACCCTGGAGCCCCTTTACAGTCTGAATGGTCACGACCAGCTTCGGAAGTGCAACCAAGCGTCGCTGTAAGAACGCCGCGGTGGGGCGCCTGGTCTGACTGTGGCCCGCGCGCGCCGCGGAGGCCCGATGGGTACCGTTTCTGCCGCGCGCTGGCACACAGGCGGTGAGCGTGGCGGCAGAAGGGTGACACCGGCATGAGCGCGGCGCTTGTGCGCGGCGCTTGTGCCTCGTGCCTGACACACCGCATGCGGTCAGCGCGGCGCTTGTGCTCACCAAGCGGTCCCAGTCCACAAAATGACGACCGACCCTTCATGACCCTCAACTGGCTGCCTGTACTGCCATAAACTAACAACTAACATTTGGCGATGGTGTCGCTCCAGAGTGCCCTGGATGCGAAATAATGAATTTGGAGATCTGTATTTTGGCGACGGCGCCTTTGGTGAACCACTAGGTGCGCTCGGCGCGCTATCGAGAACAGGCAATTGGCTGTGGCATAGTCGCTGGCAGGACTAGAGATACATTTGGCGGTGTCGTCGGCAACAACTGCACCACGGAACAAACTCGTCGAAATGAAGCAGGGGTAGCGTTAGGTCGGGCATGTCCTCCTACAGGCAGACTTCTAAGAAATATGAGATGTTGGCAGAACTACGCAACAATAGCCAAACACAGCTGTTGCCAAGCAGGAAACAAGACGTCCCCGTAGTATTATTTATTCCATGTTTGAAGATGTTCCCCCTGTAGAGGAACAGGCCCGAGTTATGAGCGGCAGCAGGGGCTGGGGGGCAGGGCGAGAAGAGCGGCCTGCCCAGAAGGCAGAGGTTATGTTGCTCCCATCGTACCTAAGGACCACATCCCAGAAATCATTTCGAGCACCTGGAAAAGTGTCGAAAGAATGTCGAAACAGTGTCGGACGAGTGTCTCCCAGGGCCGGACACGTGAAAACCCTCGAGTTTCGGTACTTTCGTCTGGTGCTCGAAATTCTTTCTGGTGCTCAAGGCTAAAGTAGGTTGGAATATCATAAGGCAGGGGGCCTCCTTGGATGTTTGCTGGGACCAGCCCCTTCAGAGGCCCCGTGCCCCACGCCTCCCAGTCTGCAGGGGAGCCTTGCTGGAAGACCGCCCCCCTCCTCTCCTCCTCCTCCTCCTCCTCCTCCTCCTCCTCCTCCTCCTCCTCCTCCTCCTCCTCCTCCTCCTCCTCCTCCTCCTCCTCCTCCTCCTCCTCCTCCTCCTCCCTCCCTCCTCCTCCTCCTCCTCCTCCTCTCCTCCTCCTCCTCCTCCTCCCTCCTCCTCCTCCTCCCTCCTCCTCCCCTCCCCCTCCTCCTCCTCCTCCTCCCTCCTCCTCCTCCTCCTCCTCCTCCTCCTCCTCCTTTTTGAGTTGCCCATACCTGGGTCAGCGACTGTGGCGTTCCTCCTCCTCCTCCTCCTCCTCCTCCTCCTCCTCCTCCTCTTTCTCCTCCCCCCCATGGCAGCGATCCTTCCACTACCAGTCCCCGCAGTCCTCCAGGGGGATCAAACCTGGGCAGTTCTCCGACCGGCGTCCAACGCAAGAACGCCCAGAAGCCTTGCAGACTCAGCGACGCCGTGACCGGCGCGCGCCTGGCGCCCCGAGGGCGGCCTGCGGCAGCGGTGCGTCCAGCCGCAGCGCTGCTCCCCCCCAGGATTTAGATATCATTAAAAACGCTGGAGGCGTTGCTTCCCCCGTTTTCAAGATCGATGTTTGACATTTCTGGTTTGGGAGCGTGTGTTCTCCGTTTCGGGATTGCCGTCTCGCCGTACTGGAAATGTTCGTGTTCGATCAGCTGTCAAGCTGTTTTGACTGCCGTTTGGTTTCTGTTTACCGTTTCTGTCAGCTGTTTTCTGTTTTGGGTGGCTGTTTTTGTTGTCTGTGCTTGGCTGCCGTGTTTCGCTTGTTGGTCGACCGCAACACAAAAAGTTGAAGACGGGGGAAAGGAAAAAAACACCCCCCAACGTTTATAAGAGCAACTAAGCCCCAGGAGCCTCGAAAAGAAGCTCCCAAAGGATCTCCCGCCGCCGTGCCCCCCGGGAAGGGCCCTCGGGTCGTCGGCCAGGGCGCTCGGTGTGCTCATGACTCCCCTGTTTCCCAGGCTGCGGGGGACGCCTGGAGCGTCTTGTACACCGACCTCCTCAGCCGCACTCCTCGGGTTCCTGTCCGACCAAACTACGTGGCGTATCGCTAAATCTTGGCGGCGAGCAAGGGGGGGAAATGAGAAGGAGAAGGCCTTCTCAGAGGGCGGCGGGACTTCTCAGAAGCCCTCGCGCCTTCTGAGAGGTTGTTTCTGTCTTCGGGGAAAGGTTAGCCAACTTCTCAGAAGGCCGGGGGACTTCTGAACCTTCTGAGGAGGCCTTCTCCTTCTCACTTCCCCTCGCTCGCCGCCGAAAATCGAGCCTCGAATCCCACAGAGGCCTCCCGGTGGGGTCCTGGAGGAGCCGGGAAAACCTCTGGCGGCGCCTGGGAGGCCCTAACATCAACATGAACGTCCAGGGGAACGCGCCTTCGGCGACCTGCCCCGTCCCACACGCCTCCAATCACCCCGACACTGCAGAATGCTGAGAGAATAGCCCCGAAGACCTGCGCCCGGACTGCTCAACAGCTCTACTGGAATTCATACGTTCAAGTGCTGGTGCTAGCTATCGTGCTACCACGAGGAACGCCACATGAGGACCGAACGGCATTTGTTTTGCCCATGGCGAGCCTCGGACACGGCAAGGCTCCTCGGCCTAGGTCTGGGGAGCGGCCCAACAATCAGAGCCACTCGGTAGCGCAGCGGGGTCTTCCTCTCAGCGCCTTGACGGCAACACCTCGTTCGGAATGAAAGGACCTGGTGCCGTTCTCCGGCCCTCCTGCGAGACCAGGGCGGCGACGCGCTGAGCAGCTGCGGACATTGGTCGGCAGGGAGGCGGCCAGCCCTTTGGCGGCTGCGGCGCCCGGCGGAACAGTGGCACAAAAAAACAACAACAAAAAAATGAAACAGCAAACGCCCCTGAGATCCGCACCTGGGCGTCGAGGGGCGCGGCCAGGGCCGCGTCAGCACCCGGCGCCGAGCCATTACCTGGCGCGGCCCCCCAGCCCCCCGCAGCGCTCTCCGAGGTCCGCCGGCCGGGCCCCCCGCACCTCCAGCGCCGCGGTTCTCTGCGCCCCCGGCCGCGGCCGGGCCCCTGGCGTCGAAATCTGCGCTTCTGGCTCCCGGCACGCTTCCGAGCAAGTTCGGCGCCTGACCCCGCCGGGCCGCCTGGAGGAGCAGCCGCACGGGGCTCACTGCCGACGGGGTCGAGGGCATGGGCAGCGGGCTCGTCCGGCGAGTGGGACCGATCCCCAGACCCCCTGCGCCATGACTGCTTCGTGGCGTGACCCCCTAAGGTCTGGACATCCCTTCCTGGGGACCGGCTTTTCTGGCTGAGACGTTGCTCTGGGGCCCGGCCCCTGGGGCGCTGAGCACAGCGAGAAACCCGCTCGGCGGCCGAATGGGCTGAGAACGGAACACTGCGGGTGTCGGCTGGCGGGGCCGTCAACAAACGGGCTGGGCTCGGCAGATTCCTAGACAGGGTCAGATCCAATCAACATCGAATCGGGGAAACGGATCGGATCGGAATGTGCATTGGACAAAACGCGCCCCTGGCCAACAACATTGAAGAAACCGCTGGACATGAAGCTTCACCCCGCTATGATTCGGCGGCCCAAAGATGGATAGGGATCACGTTCCTCCTATCATCAGGGCCCCATCGGAGGAGGGCCAGTTGACACAACGGCGACTCTCCTCATGGCCCAAGGCCGCTAAAATCGATCCCTGGATCCCGCCCAGGGTCCATCCTGACCAGGCTTTCAAGGCGAATCCAGCTGTATGGTCGTATCTCCTCCAAAATCCGCACCTCCCCGCTGTGTTACCCAGTCCTGCGCGGTCTGTGCGGTGTTTCACGCTGTTCGCGGCCGTGCTGCTCTGGCGAGCGAGCTGCGAATGACTATTGCGAACCAAGTCCTCTGATGGATCGGACACGCGACCTCCCTGCCCAGCCACCGTCCGGCCGCGCTGCCGCCTGAGCCACGATGGGCGGAATGGCTGGCCGAGCTCGCGGTGCCCGTAGTCCCACGACGACGCTGTGGCCTCCACGGCCAGACAGCATGGTCGTCGTCGTCGTCGCCGTCGTTGCAAAGTCGAAACGTCGGCACAGGAACGCGGGGGCCGTTTCGCAACAGGCCCGCGGCCCAGTGGAGGTAGCCCAAACGAAGAGCACTCCAAGACGGAGAGCCCAAACACGAAGAACACAATGGTCTCCCTCCAACGCCAATGCTGTTATTTACCCTCGTGCCAGCTGTACTCGTCGTGGCTGTCGTGGCCATCGGCGTCTGCATCGGCGTCACAGTCGTCGTCGACCCGCCGACCGACGACGACTCCACGACGACGGTTTGAATGTCGGAGATATCGCGGCGGTTTGTCATGGCCTCATGGAGACTTCCGAGCGGCTCTGACATCCAAGCATCGCGAAACTGTGTCCTGTTTTTCTGATCACCATGGCCACCTGACAATTCTCGAAGGTGAGCCGATCCAGCTCGAAACCGGGTCTGAAGACGCAGCCGATGACTGCTGTGCAGATTTTGTTAACAGCTGTCGGGGTCGGGAGTCAAAGCAATGCACGAATCCTGATATCTGCGTTCGCATCCGTTCCGATGCCGTCCTCTGCGCTCGCATCCGAATTCTGTTGGTCGCAGTTGCGACGTGCTCGTCGCGGTCAAAGCTACGGCGGTCTGAGCGAAAACCGAATTGCGCCCTCGCAAAATGGCTTATGTGCAGAAGCGGCGGCGGAGGGAGGAAATGAGGTGGAGGCATGTCAGTTGGCATGACGGAGCAGGCTCGCAAGGCGAACCAGACCTGGATAATTAACTAACCAACGACTTTCCACTGGATTATTGTTTCGTCTCGGGTGGGATTTTGACGGTACCAGCCGCGGAAAAGGGCTTTGCAATGCCAGATACAGCTGGTGAGCCTGAGCGCCCAGTTCCCTCAGAGGCTCCCTTCCTTCACGGTAAGGCAAATTCCTGCCTTGACGACGTACGCTCTGATCTCTGACTCCGGGTGAACCGTTCGACCTTGAACAACACCTGCTGCCAAGCAACGCCAGGGTCTGTCCACAAAAACGTATTCTGGCGTTCGCGCCGTAGGCAATGTCTTTTAGGTCTAAGGTCTAAGCACACGAAACACACCGTCAAAGGGTAGCCACCGCGTCGGGGCGACACGAGCTTCCCGCATATCGAAGATCACAACCTGGAACGATTGCGGCTTTACGATAGCGTGGATCGTCCGACGTGTCCGACCGCAGCCGCGTCAACGATGGGCAAAACCCGTCAGCACGTCAGCGTACGGTCGGCGCCGCGTGAGCGTCAGCCTGGGACGAATGCAGCTTTCCGACAAAACAGATCGTCCGAAGTCGTCGGCTTGTTCAAGGGTTCTGGCGGAGTTCAACTTTGAACGTCCGCGCTGGGCCCGTCGCCGCGTGACCGGTGGGCAAAACCTGTCGGAGACACACCGGTTAGAGAACGGCCCCAAGCAAGAGAGTCCTCCAGTGCGCAGCTTGCCGATCGCTGCGCGCGATGCGACAGCAGCGGCCTGCGCGCTCGACTTTGGCCACCCGCGCCAACCCTGACAGCCGCGCACCAAAGGTTACTCCGGGGAAGGGTCACTCCTACGTTTGGTTGTTGGGTCGGAGCGGCCGTCCCCGGAGGATCCAGGCACCCCCGGAACAGCCCAGGGCGAGGCGCCGCTGCTGGAACGCAGCCTGAGGCAGGAAAAGGCCAAGGCACCGACGACAACGTCCCCGAATGATAACGTCTCGAAAATCCTAAAACGTAGGGGAACACACACACACACACACATCTGCTCATAGACCGCCATTCCACGGACCTTTCCTGGAGGCGTTCTGACCAGGAGTTCGCGGCGAATCCAGGCGTGGTGACGACGGCAGAGCAGCGGCGTCGGTACCCTTCCCTCTTCTGAGAACGTTTGGCCGCCGAACCTGCCGCAAGTGCCCCCGATCAGCCCCTCGACCCCTCTGGCGCCGGTCGCCCAGCCTCGCCGTCGGCGGGCCCGCTCGCCCAGTTGCTCGCGGGCGTGCCCCCGCGGCCCCGAGGGCGGGACATTCTGCCTGCGCTGCCAACGATACTGGTCGCGGTGGAGGGTGCCGCGCCGAAGGCACGATGCGGACAGGTTCGGATGAGACCAGAGGGGGCACCTCTGAGCTGGCGGGTCGGGGGTCTGAGTTCGGATGATGCATTTGGCGCCGCGGTCGTTCCTGACCGCGCAGGGACACGCTTCTCCTTGTCCTGGGCCTGGGCCTGCTTGACGGGTGCTGGTCGCGAGGGAGGATGACGAATGGCACGCGTGGGCTAGCACTTGCGCGAGGAAGCGGCGAGGGGTAGCGGTCGCAAGGATACCAACGGCAGGAACAGTCGGCATCGGGTCGGGAAATACGATCGACTTGAGATGTGCGTCGGATTGGGCTGCATGTGCAACGATACGTCTGAAGGGTCTGGCGAGATGGGCGAGGGTACGCCACGCGCACGGTGACATGTGGGCCCTCGGTGGGGCTGCAGCCACGAAGCGTGTGGGGAACAAGCCGTGACACATGCGCCTGGTAGCGGCAGGCAGGCAAGGAAGTCGGGGGCGTCCAAAATAGTGGCGTCCACGGGGTGGGCTCACAAATCATGGCCCAAGGCACGTGCGCGGCCCGGGGAGGTCCAATGGACGCACTGCAACGAGAAGAACGGGCGCTGTCCTGCCCGACCCGCTCGCCAGAGTCCGCCCGCCGCCCGACCCGCCCGTTAGAAGCCGGCCGCCAAACTTATCCGATATGGTCAGCCCATCCGCGTGCTCGGTCGGAAACCGTCCCGCCCGCTTGAATGCCCCGCCCGCCCGGCCCGCCCGTTGGGATCCGCCCGCCGGGCCGACCTGTCAGTCAGGGCGGGCCCGCCCGACCGCCCGTCAGGGCCCACTTGCCAAACTCGCTGCTGTCACTCGTTCGCCTCCTATGCCATTTTCTTCGCCCTCGATCCTCCCTCACTCGTGCCCGCCCTCCCCCATCAGGAGGGCAGAGGTGGGAGGTTCGCGCTGGGCGCTGAAGACTCAGAACAAAATGACAAAAACTACGAAGCTTCGATGGCAACGTATGTCGGCACTTGCGAATCGACGCTAATCGACTCTACATCGACGCTAACCGAATCTAGTCGACGCTAAATCGATGCTTGGCGACGCTAACCGACGCTACATCGGCGCTATCCCATCCACTCCCAGACGCTAATCGGAGCTAGTCGAGGCTAAAGACGGACTTAAGAGGGCATGCCAGGCTCCCATGCTTTGCTACTGGATGAAACGACGAAGACGGGCCGCCACGAATATGTAGAGGAAAGAGAACTATGCACATACACCGATTCTGGCCAGGCCCAACCCTGAGCCCAGGATCGGTGCATACGCCCTCTTACCTTGGCCAGGAGGGTATATGTACCGATCCTGGGTCAAGGATGGGCGTTGTCAGGATCGGTGCATGTGCATAGCTCTCTTCGCCACGAATACGACGGCCGCGAACACCAGCGTGCTGCTAGCAACGGTCCTGGCCCAAGGTGTCCCCGGCTCCTCGCGCCCTCTCGGGGCCCGAAGCCCTCTCTGGGCCTCGCAATAATCAACGGGTGCCCTGGGAGCCACCCGTCACAGGGGATGTGTCGACCCCTACCCCGGACCAACAACTTGGTAGCCAAGCTCGGGGATAGACGCCAGGTGGGCTTCCATCCTGGATAGTTGAAGAAAAAAGAACGGCATGAATAGAGGATTTTGGAGGTCCGCGCGGAATTCTTGGATCTGCGCTGGACCCCCTCCCTGGCGCGCGGAGCGCGCCAGGGGCGGCGCCGGCGGCGCCGCCAAGGGGGGCGCAGCGCAGCACGGACCCAAGAAATCCGCGCGGAGCGTCGAAAGTTTATGTTTATGCGGTGCTTCCATCTTCGAGATAGGGGTGCGTCCGAACGGCCCCCTGCGGGTGCATCTCCGAGAGTCCCCCTCATTTTCTGAGCGGTGGCTGGGGGCGAGACGAGACGCCACCTGCAAACCGGGGCCTCCAACGATTTCCGGGGGGCACCTGTAGCCAGGACCACTCTCGGGTCGGGCGAAAGGGGGGGATAGCAAAGGGGGGGTTTGAGAATCAGCTCACGTAGCTGATTTTCCCGGCGCCTCCCGGCGCCGGATGCGACTATGTATCGAGGAATGGGCCCCTCGGTGGGGCCGAAACCAGCTGCATGCAGCACATTCCGTAACCCCCCCTTTCCCAATCCCCCCCTTTCGTCCAGCCCGGCACTCCTGGCAACACCCGAAGACGGCCATCAGCGACGGCCGCGCCCAGCCCCGGCGGCCGGGCCCGCCCTCTGGGACTGCGTCACGAGCATGGGGCCGTAGCCGGGGGCGTCGACGCCGAGGGAGCCGGCGGCGCCGTCGCTGCCGCCCAGCCGCGCCTGCGGGGGGGGGCACGACGGGCCCTCGCCCGGCTGGACCTCCTCGGGCGCCTGTCTTCACCACCCCAGCAGAACGCAACGGTGAAGAACCGGGTCGATGAGCAGGAGAAGCACGGCCAGGAAGCCCTGAGAAACTATGCAGGAGAAGGACCCGACCATGTGCGGTTGTGAGTACCGCAGTTGTACATATGGTTTTCAGTGGAGCACCCTTTGGGGCCGCGAAACGTGCGAGGGGTGTGGCGAAATGGGTGCGGGGACGAGCACTGCCTCTGGGGCCTTCGGTGAAGCACCCTACGGTGCCACGAAATGTGTGAGGGGTGTGCCAGAATGGATGCGGCGGTGCCATGCGTGCGTTGCGACTTGGGTCGAAGGTGTAGCTCCCTATGTGGCCAGGAACCGTGTGAGTGGTGTGTCGAAGCGGGTGCGGCGGTGCCATGCGGGCGCTGACACTGGTGCTGCAACTGGGGCCTTCTGTGGAGCTCCCTATGGGGGCACGAAGCGTGTGAGGGGTGTGGGGACATGGGGCGGGGACCGCATCTGAGCACTGCCACTGAGGCCTTCGGTGGAGCTCCATTTGGAGCTACGAAACGTGTAAGGGGTGTGCCGAAATGGGTGGGGGCCACGAAACGTGTGAGGGGTGTGCCGAAATGGGTGCGGGGACCGCATGCGATCACTGCCACTGGGGCCTTCGGTGGAGCTCCCTTTGGGGCCACGACCACGAAACGTGTGATGGGTGTGCCAGAATGGACGCGGGGACCGCATGCGAGCACTGCCACTGGGGCCGTCGATGGAGCTCCCTAAAGGGGCCACGAAACGAGTGAGGGGTGTGCCGACATGGGTGCGGCGGTGCCATGCGGGCGCTGCCATTGGGGCCTTCGGTGGCGTTCCCTGTGGGGCCGCGAAACGTGTGAGGGGTTTGCCGAAGTGGGTGCGGGGACAGCATGTGGGCACTGCCACTGAGGCCTTCGGCGGAGCGACCTCTGAGGCCACGAAGCGTGTGAGGAGTGTGCCGACTCAGGGGTGGGTGACGTGGATCGGTGATGGAGACGATAGGGGTGACTAGGGTGAGGAGGAGAGGGGAGGAGGAGAGGGCTGCCTTAAGAGGTGGGACGCGGGGCGCTGTCTCTTCAAAGCGAAGACCCAACACCATAGGATGGTGGACAAGACAAATGCTAACATGGCAAGGGTAAGAGCGCGGCCAGGTGCATGTAGGAAACATGTTCTAAACATGGTTTAACCAGGTTTAAAACATGTGTAGAACATGTTTAAGACATGTGTTGGACATCTGGAAATTATTTAGCAACATGCTTCCTCTCCACTGATCGTCCTCCACAAGCATAGAACACGTGTTACAACGGAGCGTGGCCGTCCCGACCAACAAATGCGGCGGGCTGGCGCAGGAGCACGATGCCTGAAATACGTGCAAGGAAGTCTCGAGCAGAACCGGGCGTTCTCTCGGGCTCCCCGCCCCCACCCCTGCGGGACTATTCTTAGGTCGGGTGTGTCCCCCTACAGGCGGATTTTGGACGAAAAATGACAAAAATAGCCAGACAATCATCAAACATAGCCGAAAATAATCAAAAAGTCGTCCCCAGACTATCTGTTGACTATTTTTGAACATTCCTCCTGTAGAGGGACAGGCCCGACTTAAGACTATTTGCTTCTCCTCTGTTACCACTACTGGAATCCTCTTGCGAAGCGATACTTGGGAACGACTCGTGATAACGCCCATTAGCGCCCATTGCCAGGATGCGCCCCCCTCCCTCCCTTCCCTGGTTCCAGGACGGCGCCAGCGCCTATCGTTACGTTCCCGGTCCAACCCCTCCTCCGTCCTCGCCTTGGTAGCGGCCGCGCTCGCTGGAGAAGTAGGAAAAAAGGGAGCGAAGGAATGGGGGGGCTGGCCCAGGGAGAGGCATCGACCCACGATCAGTAATGGATCGCCGGTAGATCGGCAATCGGTTCTCCATGGCGAGACCTGACGTTCCTGGGCACTCAGGTTCCGGTCGGCGAGAAATTGGCGATTCGGGGTCGACGTTTCGCCGACTTGAACCAGCCCCCTGTCGTTGTCCTTCATCCTTGGAGCCAATGATTAAAAAAATCACCCGACCCTGCTGGCGTGTGCGAATGGTTTTTCCGTTGGGCTCGTCATCGCAGTCGGCGTCGCCGCGCCCCCCTCCTCTTTCCATGGGCCCTCCTCAGGCGCGCCAGCGAAAACGAAATTGAGCAACGTCGTAGTTCAGGTCAAAAAGAACCACCTTCCCTTTGATCCCTCCCCCGCGGGGGGGGAGATGCCTTTCCCCCCCCCTGAGGTCCCGAGTCGAAGGGAAGCCCCGTTCCTTTGATCGCTTCCCCGCGGGGAGGAGGGCTCCTGAGGGGGGGCCTGGGTCAGAATACCATCCCCCGCTGGGGTGCCAGGGAGGTCCTGGAGTGGCCGTGAAGCCCACGTTACAGTGGCGCCCAGTGTCAAGCGGGAACCAGGGGGCCACGCCGCCCTCTGTGAAACGACGAACTGGGGGACAACTCGCAGTGGAGCCCACTGTCACACGGAGAACTGGGAGACCATGGGGCCTATTCGACAGTGGCACCCACTGTCGACCGGGGACCTGGGGGCATTTGGCAGCTTGGCCCACTGTCAAACGTGAACTGGGAGGCCTGGGGGCCCATCTGACAGTGGCGCCCACTGTCAAACGGGGACTTGGGGCGAATCTGACAGCGCGGCCCACTGTCACACGGGGATCTGAAAGGCCTTGGGGCCCATTTGACAATGGCGTGTCTTTGGAGCCCAGTTACCAGGGCGCCCACTGTCAACCGGAGACGTGGGGGCCATTTGACATTGGGGCCTCCTGTCGCACAGAAGCTGGGGGGCATTTGACCGTGGGGCCCACTGTTACGAAGGGAACCGGGTGGCTTCGAGGCCCACTGGACAACGGCGAGCGCTGTCAACCGGGGACCTGGGGGCCATTTGACAGTGGGGTCCACGGACAAACGGGACCCTGGGGGTCCTTTGACATGTGGGGCCAGGGTCCACGGGGAAATCCGCCGATCCGGCGTGTGAGTTTCAAGGAGTCTCAGCTACAGCCTCGAGGCTGAGCTTCAGCCTCTGGGGGGGTCGCCGGGGTGGCTCTGCCGGGGAAGGGGGGGTGGGGGGGGGGGGGGGGGTGCGAGTTTCCGGCGAACCCCGGGGCCGCTCCGGGGGAGTGGAAGATAGGGGGGGGGGGGGCGCCATGCTCCGCTTTTTCCGGCGCTTTGGAGGAGGGGGGGGGCCCAAGAGACCCCCAAGGGGTTCCAAGAGGGCCCCGAGTCGCCGAAAAATCGCTCCAAGACGCCCGAGATGGCCTCCAGACGGCCCAAGGTGTCTCCAAGACGCCCCAAGAAGCTTCCAAGAGGCCTCCCAAGAGGGCCCCAAGAGGCCAGAATCGTTGATTTTCATTGGTTTTTTCAGGGTTTTTAGCGTTCTTGCCTTTTCGGGCGTCCGACGCTCGAAGACGGCCCAAGAGGCCCCCAAGTCCGTCCCAAGACGGCCCACGATGCTTCCAACACGGCCCAAGAGAGCCCCAAGACGGCCCAAGAGGGCCCCAAGACGGCCCAAGAGGGCCTCTGGACAGCCCAAGAAGGCCCCAAGAGAGCCCCAAGAGGGGCCCAAGAGGGGGACCACGAACCGAAAGAACCGAGCTTTCCGCCCCAAGAGGCCCCCAGGAGGCCCCAAGAGACCCCCAAGGGGCCCCAAGAAGCCCACAAGAGGCCCAAAAGAGGTTCCAAGAGGCCCCAAAACAGCTCCCCAGAGGCCTCCAGACTGCCTCCGGCAGGCCCCCGGTTTCTTCCGCGGCACCGCCCAGGGCGCCACCGGCAGGATGTCCTCCGTCTCATCGTTTTCCTTCAAGTTATCGCCTCTTCCTCATTCTCCTCCTCCTCCTCTGCGACCTCACTCCTATCCCTCAACGATCGCGTCACCGAGTGCCTCTTCTTTGAAACATCCTCGCTCTTCAAACGCACATCCATACACACATGCATACATACCTACATTTAAACACATTTGCATACATAGAAAAACAATCTTCCAGACATACATACTTACATTCACACACATACACACATATTATCATACACACATACAAACATACATACAAACTAAATACATACATACGCGCACAAGCATACATACATACATACGTACCTACACACAGGCACACATGATCAATGCATGCATACATGCATGCACGCGTACATACACACACATATATCGTGAAACTCACCGCGTGCTCGAAACTTGAGAGAGACCGCGGGAAGTCGAGAGAAGCCGCGGAACGAGGCCTCTACTACTACTACCACTACTACCACAACCACTACTACTACTACTACTACCACTACTACTACTACTACTACTACTGCTACTACTACTACTACTACTACTACTAATACTACTACTAGTACTACAGGTGCGTTTCCCAACTAGTATGTGTGTGTGGGTGATGCTGTGTGCGCATGTCTGCGGCGCAGGTTAAGTGGTGTGACTGTGTGTGTGCGTTTGAGTGTGCGCCCATAATTTCTGCGTCTGGAGAATAACCCCGAGCGACCCGGATCGGCGGCACTGGCCGAAGGCCACTACAATACGCACCTCCCCTCCCCAGAGGCACCCTCCTCATTCGTATCCGCTGCTGCGGGCGGGGTGCAGCGTGTTTTCCTGCATGCCTTCAAGCGGCCGCAGATCCGCTCCAGGGCGGCCCCAAGTGACCACGCGCCTTCCTACAAAGTCCCCCGGGAGGCCGCCCAGCAGGAGCCCGCAAGAGGGCCCCACGAAGGGCTCCAGAGCGTTGGCGTCCCCCGTCGTCGCCGCCGCCGCCGCCGCCCATTTTCAGGGTCGGCGGCACAGGCCGTAAGACCGTCCGAAATTCAAATTAATCATACAGTGATTGAGCCGCGGCGGGATGCCAACGAATAGACGGGACCCTGCCAAGGGATGGCCTGCCTCCTCTGCGCGACACGCAAGCCTGCGGTCGGCGCAGCCCTGCGTTTCCGTCCTGTTGTCCTTCTCATCGCCCTCTCCCTGTTGTCCCTCTCCCTCCTCCTCGACCCCCGATTACTCAGTCTCGTCTCGACCCCTTCACCCCTTCTCGGCCCCCGTTCCGCCCTCGCCTCCCTCCACCCTCTCCCTCTCCCTGCTCCTCCTGCTGCTCCTCCTGCTCCATCCCTGTATGGCAAACTGGACACGCATAAATTCCAGCCGCACGCATGGCGATTGCGTTTCAACCGAGACCGTGGTAACAATTCAGGGTGAATGCCACGCCAAGGCGATGCGGCGTGGAGGGCTTGCACCGAACGAAGGGGTGGCCGGACGCTGGGAGGGACACAAACACAACAGAAAACATGTTTCTCCAGATGTCAATCCGTCGTCGTTCCTCTTGTGAAATCTTGGGGGTAGGAGAGGGTCGTGTATTTCCTGATCATCTGTCCGCACTGCCGGGCTCCAAGATCGTCAAACGAACTACTCGGGATGGACAATCGGTCCCGAAAAAAGGTCCAAACATCTGGGCATCCACGCCGTGACAAAAAAAATACGACGCCGGAGATCTGGGGCAAGAACAGCCAATGTCGAGTCGGGCTGCATCGGCACGGGGCCCCGACATCGAATTGGAAAGGCCAAGACGAAATGCTGCACGACAACGCCGTGCGAACGGCATCGTCGGAGTGCCGGAATGGAAAAGCCAGCTGGAATCGATATCGAATCGGATCGATCGGATCCCCTTCCCCCCCTCATGCCAGAAAGGGTCTGCGACCACCATGCCGTGCGCTTGAGAGCACCGCGGTGCACTTGCAAGAACAGAACGGGGAGGGGGAGAAGGGAGAAGCACAACAGTACGGAAAGAAAGAACAACAGAAGCGCCAGTAATTAGATCATGGGCACACGAGTCTGGAACGGGCGGGCTAGGCGGAAATTCCTTTGCAACAACTGCAAGGATTCACTCCCGCGACCTCCAATGCCGCCCACCTCAACCCAGACCTTACGCTTTCGAAGATCGCGCCCCACGGCACGCGAATCCGTGAAGCCCAGATAAGGCGAGAAACCAAAAAAGTGGTTTGGAAAAATGACCAGTCCCGCGGAATCCCGTTCTCTCCCTCACAATTTTGAAGCTCATGCAAACGACAATTTCTTGGACCCCTCAAAACATACCTTTAATTGACTCACACGCATTCGAACGCCAAAAACTAGCCCATTGATCCGAAACAAACCCTGCAGTTGCTTGCGAAAAACTCGTATCCATTCTTCTGCTTGGGGTCATGCGTTCCGTGTAAGCTCGGATTTCGAGGCTGCCCGTTGCGCATCAACACCGACATGGGTCGCCATTGCCACACTACTTGCGACCACCACCGCGCCTATGAACACCACAGCGCTCGCAAGCGCCGCGGGGACGTGGGCTCCGCAGCGCTGGCGGACACCGCCGGCCCTGTGACAAGCTCAATTCGCGCGAACACCGCCACGGCGCGCGCGGGCACCTCGGCAAGGCCTCCGAGCAAGGCACCGCGTCGCCTGCGAGCACCGCTGCGCCCACGGACACCACAATGCCTGCGAATACCGCTGCGCCTGACAACACAGGCGCCTGTGAGCACCGCCAGCGCAGGCCTGCCTCGCCCTCCCCACACAACTCCTGGACCTGCAAGAACGACAATCGGACATCGGATGTCGGCCTGCATTACGCCCCGCGTGGATGCCGCAGGGGGGGGGTGGGGGGGAAAGCGCCAAATGGCAATGGCACACACAAGATAGCAACAATAAAAGCATTGCGACAATTGGCAAAGAATGCAATCCCCATCTCACGTTACAAAATGCCTGACGAAAATGACTAACATACATGAGCTGTGTAAGGAGAAGAGCTGTATGGGGGAACATGTGAAGAGGGGGTGAACGATAATCTGTGTTATCAGCAGACCCCCTCAAAATTAACTCTGGTGAGTAGCGAGAAGGAATACAAGAAAGAGCTAGAACGGAGGACGAGGACGATTGGGGGTGGAAGCGGAGGAGAAGAGATAAGGAACGAGGGGGAGGAGGAGAAGCGAGGAAGGAACATGGAACTCGAGGAGGAAACTGTAGGAAGGGCAGGGTGAGCTGAAGAGGCGGCAGACACCGCGGGGAAACCGAGAGGCAACGACGATAGAAACATCAAGACAAGCGAACATACACTGTCAAAGGTCCGCGAGGATTATCTGGATCGACGTGCCAACTACGAACATCCGAAACACTCCGCGCGAACCTTCTAACGTCTATGTTCATGCAATGTCCCGTCTTAGAGAGATGACGCCCCGTGGACGCGCCACTGGGTATGTGACAGCCCTCGACGATGTGAGGATGCTTGCGTCGTGCACGACGACCTTCGAGGAGGCGCCCGCGTCGACAGTGAACTCGGTCGTCCGCCGCCCCGCTGGGGCCTCGTCCTTGGTAGGACGAAGATCGAATACGGCAAAGAAAGATCTAGTCGTGACGATTTCGGCGACGGTCTCTGACACCTTGTGGCTCGTTCATCCTTGAGCGATCCCGGTTCCCCATAATAGCACGAATTTCACGATATCGGCAGATTCCATGTCACTGGCGGCGTTCAACCTTGAACGCCCGCCCGCGCAGGGGTCACCGCCGCGTCGACACGACACGAACCTACCGTACAGTCTAAATTTGGTCACCAGAAGCGCTGGTCAAGAACGTGAGCCCCTTCGCCTAGGGCCCATGGAGATCGCCGATCATCCGCAACATCATATGGTTGTGGCCCCACCACATGAATAACTTGAGGTCACGTCTCGCGAGGAAGGAATGTCCTTGACCCTCGCGAAGTCTATACACCTGGATCAGTCCTGAGACTCATTGTTCTTGGACCTGGGATACGCTATCATCTTCACGAGGACACCCCCGAAGTCTGGGTCCACGAATCACAAGGCACATATGGGGTTCACCATCTTTTGGACCTGGGACGCTCTATCCTCGAGCTGGCACGCACCGAAAGCAACTGGAGCGATTTTGGGACTCGGCATTGCGTGGGCTTGCACTGCACCACGATCGAACGGGCAAACAAGGAATGTGCATCTCCGGATCAGAAGACAAGGCGCGGCGGAGACCTGGGACACATCGTCCTCGACTGGGCACGCGCGCAATCGACCTGGAATGACCTGGGGACCACTATCATGCGAAGCTGGGACGCACCATCCCCTAAGCGGGCACACGCGGAATGTGGATCCGCATATGTGGGCCGTGCAGGATCGCCCGCTCTTCCCTTCGGGGAGGGGTACCCTCCCCCTCTCCTCCGAGGATATTGGGGCGTCCAACATGGCCCACGATGGCTCCCAGAGGGCCTCCGATGGGGACCCGACGAGGGCCACAAGACAGATCCAAGTGCTCTCGGAGCCCTCGGAGGATCCCCCCACGAGGCCAAACTGCTTCAGAAACATACGGAACATCAATTTCGTGCTGCCTTGCCGCCGTTTCGCTCCCGATGCGCTGTGAAGCCCAGAGTGACACAAGAGAGCCCCAAGAAGGGGCCTAAGAGGCCCCACTGAAACGGCACCAACGGCGCATCAGATCGGCCCAAGAGCGCCCCAAGAACGTCCCAAGAGGTGATGTGTATGGCCAAAGGGGGGGAAATTTAGTACCCATCCTCCTTTCATTGAAGCCTCCACGATGGCACCAAGAGGCCCTCCAGAGCCCTCAAGATGACCCTGGCAGAGTCCCAGGAGGGCTCCAAGAGGGCCCCAAGACTGCCCCGAGATCGCCCAAGAGCGCCCCAAGAGCGTCCAACGAGAGCTAAGAGGCGGTTCACCGCCTCCTCCTCCTCCTCCTCGTCGTCCTCTCCTCCTCCTCCTCCTCATCCTCGCATGTTCTTCTACAGGCGGATTTTGGGATGAAAAAAAGTAGTCAAACAATATTCAACCATGGCCAAAGATAGTCAACACATCATTTCCCGGACCATAGTTTGACTATTTTTGAATGTTCCCCCTGCACAGGGATAAGCCCGACCTGACCTCAGGTGCCTAGACCTCACGACCCGCAGCCGCTCGTTCTCAGATGCGCGACTGCGCATGCGAGCTGACTAATACAATGTTCGCTGGAAAGAACTGATAACAAAAAAAAAATCCCCGGACAATTACCCGGACAAGGTGCATGCCACAAGCGTTCCAACATGTAATTTTGTGGCTGGCGCTCGAGCGGCAGCACAATACCCCATTGGGGATGTGGCCGGCGCCGAGGCGAGAGCACGACGCCTGCTGAGGAGGCATGTGGCCAGCGCGGAGGCGACGGCACCAATCCCAGACGGAGATGTGGCCAGAGCTCGAGCGAGAGTACCAATCCCAATCACGGATGTTGCTGGCACTCGAGCGGCAACACCATACTTACCCGATGAAGGATGTGGCCAGCGTTGAAACGAGGGTGCCGTCCCCAATCAGGGACGTGGCCAGCGCGCAGTGCTGCGAGGATATCTCAGGCGGAACTGGCCAGACCAGCTCTCGCGCGGCATCTCCGAACCCAGCATTGTAAGGATATCTCCGGTGAGACTGTCTGGAACACCTTTGGTCAGAGCACCTCTGAGCCCAGAGCTGCGAGGACGTCTCAGGCGAAACTTGACAGACAACTTCGTGCCCGGCATCCTTGAACCCAGAATCTGGAGAAAGTCTCATGTGAAACTGGCCGGACCACCTCAGCCCAGAGTATATCGGAGCCCAGAAAACTGCGAGGAATTCTACTGCAAAACTGCCTGGACAAATTCGTGCGCGATATCTCGGAGCCCAGAGTTCTGAGGATATCTCAAGCGAAACTATAACTCGACAACCTCGTAAGTGGCATTCCGGAACCTAGAGTTGCGACGTCGTCGCATGCGAAGCTGGCCGGACAACCTCTCACGCGGCATCTCTGAGCCCAGAGTTGCGAGGATGTCTCAGGCGAAATGGGCTGGATAACATCGTGCGCGGCATGTCGCAGACAAAGCTGGCTGGACCACTGCAGATCGAAGCATAGGAGCCCAGAGTTGCGAGGATACCTCAGGCAGAACTGGCTGGAACACTTCGCATGCACCACTTCTGAGCCCAGAGCTGCGAGGACGTTTCAAGCTTTCGGAACTGGCCGCACCAACTCTCGCGCGGCACTTTCGAGAGCTCCAAAGCAACTGCCCACACAACCTCCAGGGCACATTGGGGCCAGAGTTGCGAGGATGTCTCAAACGAATTGTGGTTTTAAAACGTCGCGCGCGGCGTATCCGAGCCCATCGTTGCCATGATGTCTCATGCGTCGCTTGCTGGACCACTTCAAATCATGGCAGATCGGGGACAACCTGCCGCGCGTCCATCTCGGAACCCGAAAAGGCGAATAATGCCTCAGGCGGACATGGCTGGACAATTTCACGCGCAACATTTCAGGGCCCCAAATTGCGAGGATGTCGCGGGCGGAACTTGCCAAACCACCTTTTAGCGCGAGCTCATCGAAACCACAACTGCGACGGGCCGCGCGCCGTGGTGCGTGCGCCGCCGCCGAAACAACAGCCGCCGCCATCACCGTCCTCGTCGTGGTGGTCCGTATCCGTTTCCTCCTCCCCTCTCATCATCCGCCTCCTCCTCCAACCCCTCCTCGCCTCTTTTTTTTCTTTCCGTTTTCTGTCGGAGCTGAACGAAAGGGACAGGAGGAGAGAAAGAATAGGAAACCACAGCAAGAAAAGGGGAAGATCGCTGCGGTGACTGCATCAAGAGTGGCTGCGGTGTGGCGGTCGCTGAAAAGCTCCACGTGCTAGTGAGATTTCGTGCGGTGTGATCGTGGCCCGTGGCTACGGCCCCCGATCTCGCTCCCACGCTGGAGCGCCATTGTGATTACTGTGGCGGCGGTCCCCGAGAGGGCTCCCGTGCGAGACAACACACGTGCGGCGCGCCTTGGCGTTCCTCATGTTATCGGTGCTTGAACCACCTCCTGCACGACGCGTTTCGCACGCGGCGAAACGAGGCGATCCTCGGAACAGTAGTCTCTGAGTTGGTCCCCGCGCGAATTGGCACGCACACGGCGAACCATACGAAATTGGCTGCAATGGTCGTTGACGCTTCACCCGCGCGAAGAGGAGGAACATCAGTAGGAGGACGACTAGGACGAGGGGGGCGGAGGAAATTCAGGCTGAAGAACCCCCCGAACAACACCGTGGACAACCCCCTAAACAACCCCCTGAACAACCCCCTGGACAGCGCCCTCCCGTTTTCCAGTTTCTGGTGCATTCCCCCCTTCTGGTTCGCGAAGCGCCTTCACATCCACGCGGTCTCTTTAATTACTAATGCTAGTTCTTCGACGGCGCTGATTCGTCCTCATCAGATTTCCTCTTCGCGTCGGCCGTGCGCGGCTCCGCCTACTTCGCGCGCAAGCGCCCCCCGCGAACGACACTAGAAAGCAGCGCGTCCTTTGCAACCCACCACGGATGCCCGACACGACATGCCGCAGCGGGCGATTGTTGCCAAACGGTGTTGGCGGAGCAGCCGCGGTGCTAGGTGGCAACCCGCGGTCCGAAGATCCGCCTGAATCTCGTCTGGCGAAGTCTGGGCCCCGCCAGACCATCCGTAAACTAATGGCGACCAACGCGTTCGCGCGTGCAGCCCCCCAGGACTACCTGGAGCGTCCGAGCTTCGAGTTGAACGCTGGCCTGTCGGGAACCCGAGCATGCCTTCCCACGCTCCTCTTCCCGCGGGCATGCGACATGTCGGCAGGGGCCAGCGATGCCGCGTGCAAGAAACTTCTCGGCAAGCGTGGCAGAAGCGAATGGCACTCTCGAGCAATCCGAAGTGGGGCCGTTTCACAAGCGGGCAGCAAGCGCAGTGCGCAGCCGCGGGTGCCTGGCAAGGCGCCGGTCAATCAGGGGCCTGCGGGAGCTGTGCGCGACGCTGCGCAGCGAGACAAACAAAATCTGCCGCAAGCGCAATTCAACGAGAATGAGTAGCGCCTGCCCGCGCGCCAGAAGCCGTTCCTTCATACACAAGCCAGCACTGACACGATCCGAATTGTGGCACAATGTCGGCAAGGCAACGTGCGCTGCAAGCGAGCGGGCACGCTTGAAGTGAGCTTCATGGCATGCCCCCCGGCCGCCATGGCAGCCCCACTGGAGAAACCGGCGTGACCACCTCGCGCGAGGCTTCTCGGAACCCAGAGTTGCGAGGAATGACCCAAACGAAGCTGGCCAAACCACATCGCGCGCGGCGTCGTTGATCCCATAAATGCGAGGATAGTAGGCGGAACAAACTGGACCACCTCTCGAGCGAGGCATCTCGGAACCCAGAGCTGCAAGGATGTCTCATACGAAACTGGTCGGACCACATCTCCCGCGGCACCTCCGAGCAAAGAATTGCGAGAATAACTCTAGCGAAACGGGCCAAACCACCTCGCCAGCGGCGATTCGGAGGCCGAAGATGCGAGGATGTCTCTGGCGAAACTGGCTGAACCGCTGAGATGAGGGCATTTCGGTGCGCAGAGTTGCGAGGATGACTCCGACAACGCTGGCCGCGCGCGCTGTATCTCAGAGCCCGGAAACATGGGCGTCTCGGGTGAAACTGGCTGGATCATCTTGTGCGAAGCTGGCTAGACCACTTCAGGTCAGGTCATATCGGAGCCCAGAAATGGAGCACAGAAATGCGAGAAGGTCTCAGGCGACATTGGCCGCGCACGCTGGATCTCCAGACCCAGAGGTCCCAAGCAAAACTGGCCAGACAATCTCTCGCGCAGCATCTGACGACACCTCAGAAGGAACGGTCCGGCCCGCCTCAGGTCAGGGCATCTTTGAGCCCAAAGTTGCAAGGCTGTCTCAGGCGAACCTGGATGGAAAATGTCACGCGGCATCTCTGAACCAAAAATTGCGAGAATGTCTCTGGCGAAACTGGCTGGACCACATCTGCCTCTGGATGAACTGGCTGGACCACCTCGCGCGCTGCATCTCCGAGCCCAGAGATGCGGGAACGCCTGCATATTGAAAATGTGTCAAGCCAAACTGGCCAGACCACCTCAGTTCAGGGCATCTCCGAACCCAGAGTTGCGAGGACGTCTCTGGCGACACTGGCAAGGCCACCCCCGATGTTGGCGGATATCTCTGAGCGCTGGCCCTTTGGCCAGAACTAGCTTCTATCGCAACAGGAGCCCAGTCAGCACAGCTGTTTGGGGAAGCGCGGCAAGGGAGGGCGTGCGAACGGGAGCCGAAGCAAGGGGAAACAAAAACAAGAGGCGACATTTCCAACTGGGCTTCCGTGGTTGTGCCATGCTTTGATGGTGCGTGTGATAATAAGATGCACAGATGCTGACAAACAGCGCGGCCCAAACAACCCCATGCACAACCCCACAAGAATCCCACCAGCCCTCTGGGCGTAGGTGGTCTAGAGCAGATCCTCTTCCACCCCTCCCTCTTCCCCCTTGGGGAGGGGTTTACCCCTCCCCCTACCCCCTCCCCTGGACCTGGACGGGGGGGGCCGCGGGTAGTTAGAGCGTCCAAGATGGCCCAAGACGGCTCCAAGAGCGCCTCAGAGAACCCAAGATGAGCTCCAAGATGGCTCAAGATAGCGCAAGATCGCTCACGATGGCTCCTAAGATGGTTCCAAGAAGCCCAAAGACGGCCCCAAGATAACTCCAAGTGGCCAAACAGCTCCCCAAGGAGGCCCCGAAGAGGCCAAAATCGTCCCAAAACCTAAGGAAAATCAATGATTTTTGCTTTCTCGCCTTTTCGCTTCCGATGGCCATCCGAGGCCTGGAGATGGCTCCAAGATGGCCCAAGAGGGCCCCAAGAGAGCCCCAAAAGAGCCCCAAGACGGCCCCAAGAGCGCCCAAGAGCACTCCAAGAGCGTTCCAAGAGGGGTCCAAGAGGCGATTTTAGGGGCTTCCGAGGGGGGGCGCTAATTAAACCCCCCCTCTTGTTTGATCGACTCCCTCCAAGATGGCCCCAAAAGCGCCCCGAAGGCTCCCCAGAGCGCCTCAAGAGGGTCCCAAGAGGCGCCCAAGATGCCCCAAGGCGCCCAAAAAGCCCTCCAAGAGGCCCTCAAAAGACCCCCAAGAAGCTCCTTCCCCTCCTCCTCCTCCTCCTCCGATTCTTCCTCCTTCTCCGTCCTCCTCCTCCTCCTCCTCCTCCTCCTCCTCTTCCCCCTCCTCCTCCTCCTCCTCCTCCGACGACGACGACGACGACGACGACTCCTCTTCCATCCTCCCCCTCTCGGGGTCTGTGACAGCTTCCCCCGCCCTTTGTTATTCTGCATGCTCCCCGACTTCCCTGATCACCTCAACTCCCCTGAGCATCGTTTCTGGATGGGCTGGTGGGGATACGCGAAGCGTCAACAATTCAGACAACCCCCCTAAGACAACCCTTCTTGGCCAAGCCTCCTCAGGACTTCTTCCATTTGATGTAGTACTCCAGATTTCGTAATAAAGGGAGGGGGGTCTCATTTCGGGGGGGGTCTTTTCCAAGCTATCTTGGAGGGCCTGGGGGGGTCTGGGGACGATGTTTTGGAGGGTTCTCCCACGGGGGGGGGGTCTGAAATGGCTTGTCTTGGAGGGTCCAGACCCCCTCCCTTTTATTACGAAATCTGGAGTACATGCTTCTGGCACTGGTCGCCACATTTTTCCACGCAAGCCCCTGATCGGGCCGTCTTCTGTTCGACGTACCGGCTGCCCCGAAATGCCACACTGAGCCTGTCGCGGGCGGCAGGTCTGGAGGTGGGCCTAGACGCCGCGAGGGAAGATCATGTATACTCTGTCCGGCGCTTGAGCCGCCAGCTCCATCTTCAAGCAAAGATTTGGCCGTCAACTCCACCTCAGTGAAACGATTTGGCCGTCAATCCCTGAGTTGACGAGCGCACTTGGCGGCCTCCTTCCGAGGTGACGAACCCCATTGACGGCCTCCCTCCGAGTTGACGAAGGCCCTTGACGGCCTCCCTACAGGTTGACGAACCCCCCTGACGAACCCCTTTAACGGCCTCCCTCTGGGGTGACGAACCCCCGTGACGGCCTCCCTCCGAATTGATGAACCCCCTTGACGGCCCCCCTCGCCGCCCCCCCCCGTCTTGACGAACAAAGCGTCGGGTCCGAGCTGATGGCTAAATACGACCTCGGCCTTGACGAACAAAGTGTCGGGGCCGATTTGAAGATCCCCTTCGTCTTGACGAACGAAGTGTTGGAGCTGAATTGACGGCTGCTTTCGTCTTAGCGAACGTAGCCTTGGGGCCGAGTTGACGACCGTTGTAGGCGCTTCTCCAGACATGCGCCGTCTCAGCCACTGGGTTGGACTCAAATGCCACACGCTGGAGCAGACTGCCTCTGCCTCGCCGCAGACGGAAAACTGTTTGACGTATCGGTTGCCTCGAACTTGCACCGGGTCATGCGGATTCACTGCGCACTGATTCGCCATCGCGCGCGCCCACGACTCCAAGGCCACACTAAGCAAATACAGTAGAAGCAAAACCGACTCAGAACGGCTCAACTCCCTCCATGCTTCGCCTCCGCATCTGAGCTTACCGCACACCGCACCCCGGTTAAATGCGCACAATATGATCAAACAGGACCCGTGTGCCACACCCACGCAGTGTGAACACCGCTGACGAGATGAGTCTCTTCCTTTCCTTCTCAGGAACACAAGAAAGCCATGCGTATAATCTTCCCCGTTGTCTACATTCCCTCTTGTCCCTGCTCCTTCGCTCTGCTCGAACTCCTCCGTATCCTCCTCCTTGTTCTCTTCGTCGTCCCCCCCCTCCATCCCTCCAGGCCAGAAAACTCGCCCCCTGCAATCCCCTTCGGCTGAGCCTAAGCTCGGCCTACAGGATGGTCAGTGTTCCCTTGTTTGTCATCGTCATTCTCCTTCTCTGCTCAGTCTCCTCCCGTCATCCTCATTTATCCTCCTTGGATTCCCTAGACCATTTGCGTCCTTGTGGGACTCCGGGTAAAACGCTCCTCCCCCTCCTCCTCCTCCTCCTCCTCCTCCTCCTCCTCCTCCTCCTCCTCCTCCGCCTCTTCTGCCAACTCCTGGCGGCGTCCCGACGAGGGTCGGCTGACGAGAAGCGCCCCCGGGACAGAAAGCCGAGTCACAGAAACACGTTGCAGAACCTCCTCCTCCTCCTCCTCCTCCTCGGCCTTCCCTCCATCCTCATCATCTCAGAAAACCGACTCCCGGACGTATCCATGCATGCCTTCGCCCCAAGTTTACAAGAACCCAGCCGTGGCTACGCGGAGCGCCGCAGAGGCCCCAAAGAGGCCCCAGCACATCATCCTCCATCGTCGATCCTCGGGCCTCGAGCCTGCCCATCCTCCTGCACCATCCCCCCACGTGGACCCACGGAGATCTGGACCCCGTTCTCGGAGCCAACCTCTCACCCGAACTGTTCTGGAACGGTCCCCGGAGACCTGGGAGAGACTCCGGAGGCCAGCAGCGGGCCACAAGAGCGCGGCCGGGAGTCTGCTTACGACGCGAGGAGGCCCGGGACCCTCCTCCTCCTCCTCCTTCCCGCCACCCGCAGCTCTCGGGCGGACGAATGGGGGGGACAGTTTAGGAGATGTCAGCGTATCATCTGCACGGAGCTGGTCTACCTGGCACCCACTGGCGCCATCGGCGATCGTGTATCCAGGGACGCGCGCGGCGGCGAGGCAAAAACCAGCTGCGTGCAGCGGTGGTCGGAATCCCACCGTTCTCTCCTTCCGTCCGACCCGACCATCGGGCCGAAGGCCGTCCACAGCGACAACGCAACCCAAAACAATCCGAACCGACAGCCAAACCAGAACCAAACCAGCCTGAAGCGGCCGAAAGGTTGTGGGAACGCAGCAAAGACACACCAGTCGACCGAACCGAACCAACCGAACGCAACGAACTGCGACGCTGCCGAACCGACCGAATCACGGACACACTCGAGGACCGAGAGACAGCGAGGGGGCTGGAACCAGGCCGGCGGATGCACGCGCTACAATGCGGGGCCCGTCAGCGGGAGGGAGAAGGGATGATAACGACGAGGATATCAGGGATGAGGGACGATGGAATGTGGGAGAAGGAGAAATGGAGGGGGAGGGAGGAGGGCTGCAAAGGAGAGAAAGGCGAGGGATGAAAACGGGGAGAAATACTCAACGACGACGACGACGACGAGGAAGAGCAAGAGGGGGCAAGCACCCCGCCAAGGGATGTCGTCCTCGTCGCAGCAAGACGAGATCGACCCGCAGGACGACGACCGGCTGCGCTTCGCGTTGTACGCGACGGCCGTCGATGTGCTGGCGTTGACCGCGGCGGCCCCCGATGTGCTGGCGTTGACAACGCCCGCGCTGTACGCGACGGCCCTCGGGGCGCCGGCGTCGACCGTGAGCGCGCCCGTTGTCGTGCCTGGCCGCCGCCGCACCCGGACCTCGTCCTGTGGGCGGGCGCACATCGGGGCGGCGGGCTGGCTGGCATTCCAGGTGTGTCCCTGCCTGGGACCCTAAACTTCGCGCATCGCGCACCACCTTCAGAAGACGCTCCTGAAAGCCTTCCCCGATCACCTGAGTTGCCGCAAAGGATCCTTTGGTGGCCCCTGGTGGCCTACAGTTGTCCCCCGCGAGGCCTCCAGGCGTCCCCCGCGAGGCCTCCAACGGCTCCACCAGTGCCCCCCAGTGGCTTCAAATGTCTCTCCAGTGGCCCGCTGTGGCCTCCAGTAGCGCAAGCAAACCACTGCGAACCACTGGAGGCGCAGGAAATCCGCACCGCAATGACATCAAAATGCTCCCAGGATCGTCTACTGAACCCGCGGTGTGCAACGCGCGATCATCTTCGCGCCCTCGCGCCACCCCCTTGGAGGAGGGCAGCCTCTCTGGCGATGTCTGGCGCAGACCGCGACGCACGAAGCGCGACTATCTCCGAGCCCCTGGAGGTGACCTAGCCTCTAGCCTGCAGCCCTGCGTTCAACCATGAGATTTCGAACTGCGGCTTCGGTCCGGGCGCCCGAGGACCGTGCATCCCTACCGCGCATCCTCATGATTTGGTCACACTGAAAAATGGCGGGGCACGAAATGCAATTCGGCGCGGACTCCCGCCGCAAGCATCTCGCCGAGGCAGCCAGAACATCAGGCAGCCCTCGCTGGAACAGCGTACAAGAGAAGGCAGCCAACCCGAGTTCCGCCGAACTTTGACTTTCGCTCTAGCGAACATGTCGAATACAGTGGAGGCTAGTCCTCAAGAAACCGCTCCAACAAAAAAAACCCAACCCTGCCCCGAGACCCAGGGCGTCTATTGCTTAGTGGTGGGAACGTCATACTTTCCATTGCAAGACCATCGAAACCCAAGAAATCCATGGCACTTTGGAGGCAAGCAAGGTGTTTCTTGGCATGGGTTCCCAGTGTACCACCGGACCGTGGCCAGAAAAGCTCAAGTCAAAAACGCGAGCCCGTAGCACCAGGAGCAGTGGTATATGCTGTTTAGGTCTTGAGCCACAATGTCAAAACCGATGGCCGTGCACATGGACCTCTCTCCCCTGGATCCATTGCGCGGTCCTACATCATGCGAAGCCTATAAGCAAGAAGACCAGCATGGTTTCCACACAGGTCAAGCTTTCTAGTAGGTTTAGCAAGCTCGAATAGCAAATGGACGCAGTGCACTCACACTGCTCTCTTCCGCAAGTCAGGAGGTAGCTTCACCTCTGGCGCAGCTAGACTGGAACAGTACGGGCGAAACAAAATTACTGCGTACAAGAGAGGAGGAGGAAGGGGAGGAGGAGGAGGAGGAGGAGGAGGAGGAGGAGGAGGAGGAGGAGTTGGAGGAGGAGGAGGATAGAGGGAGAAGGGCGCTGGGTAGTCCACAGGCCCGAGGAAGAGACACCCTCACGATCGACCAAGGAAGTCGACGATATCTCCTCTTTGGCCCGAGCGATCGCCCTGGCGGAAGCGGCTTGGGAACGACCGTTGCTCTTCGGATCGGCACGTCTGTCGACTAGCTCGTTGGCTTCGTCAACCTGCAGCAGCTTTCTGGAGACCATCAGATCGAACAGAGCCGCATTAACTTTGGTTATGTCATCCTTGGTCAGTGGGTCACCGGGCATTCTGGTGCGTGGTTTCCACCGTACTACCCCCGAAGAGTTGTCCAGCTAATCGCAATGTGTCGCCAGGTCCACGGCAGTGCGACGGTCCTTGGCCGGGACCAGACCGTCTTTAACAAACTCATCGTGCACACTCTTCGCGTCTGCCACATGTACTTGCCTCTCTCTCTCTGCCCGAGACGGCAATCCTGGCGCAATACTGCGGAACATGGGGAAACCGCTTTAGAGCAGACGGGAAGATCTATATCCTGGTATATCGCGCCCCTATACAGTACCTGCAGGAACTCGACTTCCGCCAGTGCCGAGGCGAGGGCAAGAGTCTCTCCGGCGAGAGTCGAGGGAACACGACGACGCAACTTGGACGACCTCCACCCCAGCAGAGGGGCATGGACCACCCTGTTGCCCAGGACCTCGCGGTCAATGGCGCGAGCCATCCAAGCCCCTAGGGTTGGCTCCTCGGGGAGCCCCTTGGAGTCCAGGAGGCCCCCGCTGGCCCCGACGCCTCCTGCGTCCGAAAAAAGTCAGGAGGGTCATTCGACCTGGGTCGAGTAACGTCTCCAGACTGACAGGCCTTTAGAGGCAGTCGAGCGCAAATGACTAACCAACTTGCTAGCACACAACACGTCCCAGGACGTCGTGTTTTTTTTTTTTTCTGGCGGCTCGTCAGAATCGAACCAATCCCTGCCGCCTCCGGACGGGTCTCTCGCCCCATCCAATTGATTTTGCAAATCAAAGACCGTGAGCTTATGAACTCGGAGACCTCGAGGGGAGCGTCTCTGCGAGACAATCGTCTGGGGGAAAGCTTTAGCGGATGTAACTCTTCCAGGATGTATTTCTCTTGGTCCGCACTAAGTCTTGAAAGGCCGTAGATCAATCGACGTCCAGCGCATGCTGCTAGCCCGGCCTGGAGGTCACGCTACTTCCCGAACCGGAAGCGGGATTCGAACATTTTCCTGGTGACGGTCCTGGTATCAGCGCCCATTGAAACAATGAAGAAATCGTGCACTTCTATCGGAATCGCGCTCTCGCGCCCTCGATCGTTCCCCCTTGTCTCAATCGGCCCACCAGCGGGGCTCCAGAGAGCAGTGGCCGCGTCCTGCCTCGGTAAGGAAGCTCGTTACCGTGCGCCTCCAGGACGCTGGGGCGTCGTCTAAACCGCGCGCGCGCCAACAGCTCGATCAGAGACCCCTCCTCGACCCCCACGCCGCGACGCGGTTCTACATGCAGGGGGCCATTGACCCGTCGCATAGGGCTGGACAGGGTGAAAGCGTTCTTCGAGTCGGCGATATCCCCCAACATGTTGAGAAATTCATCATCGCTCGCGCGGACATTCTCATCGACGTCGTTTGAAGGATGGGGGCAAATGCCCTCAGCGATCCCGTGTCTGGGTCCAGGTGGCCGTGGACGCACCGTCGAGGTTTTGCAGTAGGCTCGGCGAATGTTCCCTCCTGCGGCCCCCATCTCTGGACCATCCTGGATGACGCGATCCTCTCTGGGATCGTCTCCCGAATCTTCCTGGCCTGGGAAGGGGGGTGTAATTGAAGGGCCCCCAGGACACACAAATAAATACACACAAATAAAAAGATTCCGCATATATTGTCATATTTTCTGGGTTTCTGTCTTCCCCCCCACTTCCCATATTTTCCCATATTTTCCGGGGAGTGGACGATTAATTGTGTCTGTGTGTTTCTTTTCCTCCTGAGTAATCCCCGCGGCCCCAGAACCCGCCATGCTGTTCCATTCGGAGGCGTCTGACATGTCAAACTTCGCTCTCTCGGCAGCGGCGACCATGGACCAGGTGATTCTCCTCGAGACGCGCGGCTCACCCAGAGAGAAATCAAGTCGGCGTCTCCTCTGCGCGGAGATCGCTCGCGATCGCGCTGCCTGTCTGGGGGTCGACCCAGTCTCTCCTCGGTCTCCTGGACGCGGTCAGCCACAAGGCGATGCCCCTCGGAGCTCAGTCCCCGAGGTTCTTGGGGAAATTCCTGGGCACCCTGCCCGGGGCCAGAGCTGAAGCTGGACCTCAGAATCTGGACTGCTGCCGGGCCAGGGGCGGGCAACCCGGGCGGCGGCTCGATCCGGGGGCGCTTGGCGCCCGAGGACTCTGAGAGCTCGCTCTCCTCACGGTTGGTCGCCTCGGACCTGGCCTCAGCCCGGGCTCGCCGGATGCAGCTGGGCACGTCGTCTGGCTGCTGAAAACTCGTCCGAACCGTTCGGGTGGTGGGCGCAATGGGTCCCTCATTCTGGCTCTTCCCTGACTTTCGAAGTGGATCCGGCCCAGGCGGCGAGGCCCCCTCCGGTCGAGGCTCGTCTCTCAAGGGAAGCCCAAAGTCTGAGGCTTCGATCGACGGACTCGGAGGTGCCGCTGGGGACCCCTCTTCAGAGACAAGGCGGGCGAGCGGGGGGCTGAACTGACGCCGACCCGACGGATCCCGTGGAATGCCTCCGGGCAGGGCCTGGCCAACCTAGTGGGCTGGGGACAAGTGCGCTTGGGCCGGAATCCAGAGAGGACCCGGCGGTCTGCCGGGCCCCCCTCGTCTCGAGCCTGAGAAATGGCAGCGGATGGACAGGCGGATGGCTGGAAGTCCCCCCCCGCGTGGTCTGGGCGGCCCCGCGCCTCATCGGGGGGAGGCCCCTCCCGTTGATCGTCTATCGCCGAAGCTCTCCCTTGTCTGGCCTGCGCCAGCAGCTCCGTCCACTGCGGGCCCTGGGCTGGCTGCAAACCGCATGCTTATTCGGCGGAAGCCGGCCTGACCTGGCCCATGGAACACTTCCAGAGCCTAGATCGCATAGCGACCTTCACGGTGCCCCCCTGGAGGATGACGACCCCGGGGCCTGTCCAAGCGTCGCGACGGACCCCGATGGGTTCCGACCCAGAGGTGGTTCTGGCCAGGCGTCGCGCAACTCTTCACTGGGGGGCCTTGGCTCGGGTCGCTTTCTGGATGCGCTCCCGGGCCGTCGTTTCCATGGCCAGCTGGCGCGATCAATCCCTCGCGAGTTGAAATCTACCGAACTCAGCCCCGGCCGCGCCCCTTTCCGAGGGTGACTTCAGCACGTCTTGCCAGCCTGGCAACCCTAAACCGTCGTCTGACAGCAGCTCGCGGGGGAGACGCGGGTTGCATCCGAACGGCAATTGCATCGGTGACCCCCCCCGATGCCAAAACCTTTGTTGTTATGCACGGTCAGCTCGCTCGAGAGAAAGAAAAAGAGAGAGAGAGAGAGAGGAGTCGAATTCGTCGAGGTTGGAGGGCAAGTCCGGCCCCGATTCAATCTCCGTGGAGCCGAGACTTAATCCAACCCCAGAGTCTCTCGGCTCTTCCGTCCTGCCAGGGGCTGTTGGCATCCGCGAACTGATGCAGGTCTCCCCGGTGCTCTTAACCATGTGAATATCGGTCATGGAAGTCGGGACCTCCGTCGGTGATCATCAGGTGTGTGGGGGGGTCCGAACGGTCTGATCCATGAG